AGGGAATCCCATAATCTTGCAGTAGTGATTGCACAGACATGGAAGGCGCTGTACGCGTGCAGCATTACCGTGGGTTTTTCCAGTCATCTAGATTGTATAAAATCCTTTGATGTTAATTGGGACAAGCTTTCTCTCTAGGGTGATGTTGAATTTATCTTTCAGTGTCTTCTCCACCTCTTCATCTTTAAGGGTTATAAATTCTACCAGATCCATGTTTTCCTTGTAATTGTATTTGGTCTCAGTGAGCGTCCACCCAATGAGCGCTCGGAAGCCGTCGGTGGTCTGAAGGGTGCAGATGGACTTCTTTGTGAAGAGGGACTCTGGAGACGTCTGAAGGTACGTGCACTGAAAGCAGAAATCTTCCACTGTCCGTGGTTCCAGACTGAACATATACACTTTCCGACAGTCTTTTTTCTCTAGAAGATCAGAATCAGAGAAATTCTGATTGGGGATATGTTGTTTCCGTCTCATTTTCTCGAGGTACCAGATGGCATTCTTTTCTGTGAAACGGAAGATACCAGGAGCCTGGGGCTGGTCTTTCCCTGATACAAGCTCCATTGGTTGCCACATTTGGTAGGATACACCAAAGCCTGCGTCAACAATGTAGGCTTTGCCCTCAATAACTACCTTCACCAGGAGGTGGGTCATGATGGTGGCATACGCGTTTTCATGTGGGTTGAACACGTAGGCTCCCAAGAAGCTGGCGTTATACCCCAGGCATTTCAGGACCCAACCCAACAGCTGGTTATTTTCCATGCACCAACCACCACGCTTCTTGTGCACAATTTTGTTATAAACGTGCTCCAGCTCCAAAGTAATTTTCTCCCCACAATGGATGCTGAGGTTTTCAAATGGAACAGCGCGGATGTGGTGCTGGAATATATCAGTTAAGGTTTCCAAGTCTTGATTTTCAAGGGAACCTTTATACCCAGTTCTTGCAAAATACTCTTCAAGATTCATGTCTCCTGTGAAGGAAGGAAATGTGTTTTAGTTTTGTTTCTTTACATCAATGATTTATGATGCTGTGAAGAACTGCCCAGGCTGCTGCCTGCAAAGATGCATTAATCTACTGAACCTCATCAGAGCAGTTTTTAAAGGTAACAAGTATTCACATCAAACAGTTCCCAGGGTTAAGAAGAGCAGTGCATGCGGGGGTTTATTTTTTGTCCTGGAGACATCCTTATGGCAAACAACTGATGGAATGGCAGCTTGATACTCAATGCCTGCAAAATGGGGATTTGATGTCCTTGCATTGTAAGGGCAGGGTTAAGAAGAAATGGAAGATCACACTGGGGAGTGTTCAGTATGTTTCATGAAAAATAGTCTAACTGCTGAATGAAATGAGTGTCAGTGGGGGAAGCAGTGTTGTCTGACAGTTGGAGGGCAAATAATTTGAGCCAGGATTCACATGTTCTTTTCATGAGCCCGCCACTACTCTGTGATCAAAAAACGAATGGCTCCTTCTCTAGGTGTCTCTTTTCACCACTTACAAAGAGTGAAAATGATACTCCCTGCACATTTTGTAAAGTGTCAAATTTTATTCAGGTAATTGTATCTGGAAAAAAAAACTCTTGACCTTTTCAAGAGACACAGACCACTGAGTCTCTTGTCTGCTCCGAGTGTTGCACAAACTCGTTTTGGTGTAGGAATAATGAACCTGAATGGAAGCGACTGACCTAAAATACAAAGAGCGTATCTCTGGTCCTTGCTGTGCCCCACAGGGTGCTTTGAAAGTGGGCAGTGAGTGGCTTAAAGCTCTCTAGACATGGCCTTTCCCAAAACTTGATTTATTTTGCCAAAGGAGGCATAACAGCATTATGCTCAGCATATACCTTGTCTGTCCTATCTCTAGCTGATCCCATCTCCTGACCTGGCTTCACAGGACTCTTCATGACCTAGTCTGCTGGATGAGGAGCTATACAATGTAACTTCTGTCTTCTAATCCATGAAAAGTCATGTGCACCGATCTGGCTTTCACAACGGTCCATTGTAATCTGCTGGCCATCATTGTGGGCTGGGACCTGTAGATGTCTGGTGAGACACTGTTTGTAAAAAATACTGTAGATTGTCTGCTTGGACATTGAGCTAGAGATAAAAGGTTTTGAAGGCTTGAACCTTTACAAAGAAAATCCTAAGCATTTCAGCAGTCTAGAGTTAGTGCAAATATTTAGCTTCTTGACAGCCTGCAAAGCTAGTTGGAAATCTTTTGTGAATGCAGTAAGCTGAGGTTTAGACACTTAATATTAGTGACTTGGAAAGTCTATTGTATTCAGATAAATGCTGCAGTGAACCATTGAATGTTTACTGCATGCTAGAATTTCTCAAGGTGATTTTCAGCGACAGGTTTATGATGGGCATATGGATGTTATAGAAGCAGCTGTCCAAAGTGAATGGAGAGCCTCATCAAAAGCTGCATGTTATTTTCTACAGAAGGGAATTTAACTTCCAGTGATAATGTAAGCGTATTGCTGGAGGATATTCCAGTGTAATGTTTGTTCAGTAGAACACAAAGTTCTGGTATTTTATTCTTTTGACTTGCAGAATCCAAGTCTATCTGATCCTACCTAGTCAGATTAAATGCTAAGTAGATCACACCAGCATAAAGTTGGTTCTTGAGTTTATAATACTAGTAATTTCCCTCTGCAGTTCCCTAATACTATGTTGATCTGTGTTAGATCTTAACCATAGGAGATAAAAACCTAGATTTTAAAAAGGAAATCCTACAAATGTGAGCAAGAAAACTTTCAAGGACTACTTCTAAATGTGCAAATTGAAGGCATTCAAGCACAAATATACCTTGCTAGGATTATGCACATTATCAGCAATTTCACTGTTAAAACATATATATATCTGCCTACTTTTATCCTAACATACCAGCACACAGGCTTTCTGAGGATGGCAAAACACAGCCTGTAATTTCACTTTAACTTTTTTTTAAGGACTTTAATTTTATTTTCAAAAAGCAGGATCTACTGATTATTAAATGGTCTTTCTCTCTTTGGATGTGCAATATCCTTCAATGTAATTAAAAATTTAAAAAAGTTAATTTTTAAGAAAAGATTGTCATTCTGAATTTGTATCTACTGCTCTGGCTGAAGTTTCTCTTGTAGACGTGAATCTCCTCCTGAAGAGCAGCAAGACAGAAGATTTGAGATCACTTTGTCATTTTGCCCTCTATAAGCAGCCATTATTTTAGCTCTACGTTTTTAAAATATTTATGCTAAGGAGAATTGTGCTTATGTGGGTCCCGATATCTTTTTACCATCACAAAGAAGCCATTTATTTGGTTGGTTTGTTAGTTTTGAGAAAATCAGCTTACCTCTTAAAATAACCTTTGTTGATGTTTGCAGTTTCTGGGTTGGTTATTGCTGGGGCAGCAGCCTGGAGAGCCAGCAGTGGATACAAGTTGTGGGGGCTGACTTCTCTAAGCTCTGCAGTCCCTCATTCCTGCATCTTAAGTGCCAAGAAAGGGCAGAGTCCACCAAAAATGAATGCACATGTTTGGACTTCACTGATCCATGAGCAAATTAAACTTTGTTTCTTCTCCATTAGTAGATGTTAATGTTTTCCGCTGGTTAAGGCCAGTCTGAACTTGTTCTCCATGTAACGTAATTTCGGTAGATACTCACAAATGGTTCTGTAATTTTTTTATAATTGCATTGCTGTTATTTGGTAAGGGAGCAATTTGTGGAGGTTAGCCTTATGCTTCCTCCTGGTGCAAGGAGTTGCCAAGGTGTTGCAGGCTGTGTTTTCCCATGCTCCACGGATGTACGAAATGATCCATCTTGGCACACAAAGAACCTTTTTGATCCCTTCAGAGCTTCCACTGCAGCAGTAGTTACTTGGGAGCTGTAACAAATACCATGACAAACATTTATTGGCAGTGTTGCATGAGAACAAAGTAATGCTCTCCCAGAATTGTCTGTCTGTACCTTCATGATGTTACATAGCTGTTTGTGATTCTCTCCTTGTGCAGCCTGTCTCCTTCATTTGATGGATGGGGAAGATGGTGATCCTTTTTGGGAAGACAAAAACCATGTCAGGCTGTATCTGGGAGCTGTACCTGAGCTTTAGGCACACACTGCCCCATCAGTCGGTGTGGCTGAGGACTGGTGTTCTTATGCCACCCTCATTCATTGCTCATCGTGTTCAGCACCTGCCATGAAACTCAGCATCAGAAAGGTAAAAGGCATCCAACATGCTGTGAAAACACACTGCTGGCATGTCTTAACTTCCCAGAGTTCTTCACTTTTCCAGGATCTTGTCTTTATAGTCACTTTTGTGCAGAATGCCGTTGATAATAAACAGCAGCACAGCTTATTGTTGTGCCTGTTTGATGTCAGAGGAAAGCGAGGCCCCGACTGTTTATATTATATTTTTCAGAGGTTGGTCTAATATTGATTGTTTCAATTTCAGATACCAGAAGTCTGATTTTTCTCAAGAACTGTTGAAGAGTCTCAGCTCCTATTGATCTTATTTCAATTTCAGAAAAATCGTGCTGAAAGGAGCTAAAATTGAACGCACAGAATTGAAGAGTTTGGAGGGGTTTTCTGTTTGTTTTTTAAGTTCCCTTACATGAATAGCTCATTTCAAGCCAATATCTGGTAAGGGAATAGGACATGAGTCTCTCAACTCACTTCATCAGCAACTCATCAGTACCTAATAGTGGGTTGTTTTGAGGAAGTTTTAACCTTTCTTTCCTTTTTTCCTTATGAAATTTTTATGGCCAAATCCAGCTCAAGTCTCTGTTTCAGACCATTAAAAGAACTGAATAATTTGCAAAAAATGTGTTGAGAAGAAGATTGGAAATAATACCAAAAAACATTACAGCATTACAGATCTTCTGTGTAAAATGGTAATACAGCTTTTTCTTCTAGATAATTTTGGTCTCGTTTTATACTTCAGATATTTTTTTTTTTTTTTTTGCTGCTACAGCAGCAGCAGCAAATGAGATACAGAGAGTTGGAACAAAATTTAAGGGAGACAAAATACAGTTTCCACATGAGAAGATTAAAGGAAGTAAGATATTTTAGTTTCTGAAGGAGAAGCGTAAGAAAAAATATGAAATGAGTATGGGCAGTTAACTAACAATATACTTGAATTTACCAAGCTTTCTGTTTATCTAATTAGCTGAATTTTTAGGATTCATTAGTGCTTTTAATGTTAGTTTTAGAAGTTTCAATACTGGACGTTTAAAGACTCATTTAGCTGTGTTGTGAATTATATGGAATCTACCAGATTAGGTGGCAAGCCACGAACATTAACTGGTATCAATTTGTTCTCTAGCACTATGTTGAATTTTTCTTTCAGTGTCTCTGCAATCTCTTCATCTGTCAGGGTTGTGGTCTGCAGCAGGTCTGTGTCCTCCTTGTACTTGTACTTCATCTCAGAGAAGGTCCATCCAACTAGGGCATAAAACCCTTCAGTGGTCTGGAGGCTGCAGATGGACTTCTTCTGAAGTATGGTATCCGGACACACTTGTAGGTATGTGTTTAGCTCCTGGAAGTCATCTATATGTTTTGGCTCAAGAGTGAATGAATATAGTTTTCTGATATTGCCCATTTCTGGAGTATCAGAGAAAGGAGCACTTCCGTCTGGAACATAATGTTTCCTCTTGACTTTCTCCAAGTACCAGATGCCACTGTCTTCTGTGAAGCGGAAGATGCCAGGAATCTGGGGCTGATCCTTCCCAGAAATCAGCAACATTGGCAACCATGTTTGGTAGGGACCACCACCAAAACCAGCATCTACTATGTAGGAACTTCCCTTGATCACAACCTTCAGTAGGATGTGATTTATTTGATCAATGTATGCCTTCTTTGCTGGGTCATAACTATTTCCTCCGAGCACACAGACGTCATACCCCATTTCTTTCAAAGCCCAAAATAAAAGATAGTTTGTTTCCATGCACCATCCACCACGTTTCTTTTTCACTATTTTATTGTAAGTAGATTGCAAATCCAGGTCAATGGTCTCTCCGCAATGCATGCTGAGGTTTTCAAAAGGAATCGCCTGGATGTGATGCTGGAAGATGGCTGTTAAGGTTTGCAAGTCTGCATCCTTATGGGAGCCATCAAAAGAAATTCTTGAGAAATACTCCTGAATGTTCATTTTACCTGTGTGAGCAGGAAAATAGCTGGTTACTGTTGTGCAGCTCTCAAGGGGCTTCCCTCCTATTTCTGTAGCACAGGTTAACCAGCCTGCAAATGTATCTGAGGCTGTTTCACTGAAGATCTGAAAGACACCTGTGCCTTTGGTAGAGATGAATACAGGCTAGAGCTGCTTCTGTCATCTATATTTCTTAAAGAGACAAGAAGGGAAGCAGGTAACACTAAAGCTTTATCTCTCAGAAATTGTTTTCAGCACAGTTGGGTGTCTCTGCTACAGGAAGACACAGCACATGGCATAACAGAATCTTTGGCCCTGGATGAATGTCCACGTGACCAAAATTTTAGGAAACTGGCAAATGAGGTTTGCAAACAAGCTGTTAGCCTATGCTAGCAATAGTAACTGCAATGCTTTACTACTGCTTTTACCGTAACTGTTAAGTAATTCTTTATCACACAGATAATTTAACAGGGGACTTTCACATTCATGGCTTTAGCTAACCAGGATAAACTCCTCAATGTGTCACTATTTCAGACAAGCTTCCATGCGAAGTAAATTGTTGTTGTTCTTAATCTCTTTAGTTTTCCTGTGGAGTTCAGACACAGCTGTGATTCTGTCTGTTAAAAAGAAGGGATTGTTAATTTTTCTACCCAAAAGCCAGGAGAACTCATAATTACTTCAAACACCTTCAAGACACATCCAGTGGCTTTTGGTTTCTTCTGCTATCTTTTACAAACCAAAGAATTCAGCTCAAATTGTTGCATATATTTTGTGTCTTTGTGTCTCTCATCCCCTTTCTTTTCATTAGCGGAAAGAGCAGAGATGCAAAAGGTTCCCTATAAGACTTTTAATCCACTGACTGATTTGGTGTCTGTAGGGATTTGTTTTGCCTTTAATTTCGATTTCGTTTAGATTTTTTTTCCATTCCAAATATGTTTGTGTTTTTTTTCCCCCAGAATGATTTATAATCTGATAAGGACTGTATGAAGTTCCAAAAAGGTCTGAAGTCTTTTTTTTTTTTCCTCCTTGAAATCACTCAGACATTCCCTGAGAAGATTTTCCAATAATTCTTTGACATAGATGACATGGGAGAGATCACCTCCCACCAACCATTCTCAGAAGTGGCCAGCAGCTAGATTCAATTTCTGAGAGTGCAGGGAGCTTTTGAAAATCACATAAATTTTGAACACATAAATGAAAATGCCCTTGTCCTGGAAGGTGAGTGCACCATATGACCTTATCTCTAGACTTTAGCCCCAACTTTGAAGCCATCAGCATAACACACTTAGTTGTGTTTCTGCTGATTTGCACTAGTACCAAGATTCAGACTGTGTGACACAGGAAAATATGATAAAACAGAGGACTATCACAATAAGGGAATAAGAAACACATTTTAGCTTCAGAAGGACCCAAAGAGGCCACACGAAGAAAAAAAAAAACCTGTATTTGATACTGCATTTTGTGTGTTTGTTTTTTTTTTTCCATCTCTTTTTAGGACAAGAGCACTCATCTCTGGCAGAATCTCCTAGGAAACACTGATTGTACAGAGCCATGCCACCAAATAGATGCAGACGTGCATGCTGCAAAGCCCATCCTTTGGTTTTCTGCCTCATTTTTCTCTCTACTCTCATTTTCAGCAATTCTGCATAGCCAGATAGAAGCATCTCATTCTTATGATGGTGTCAAGCTGCACCTTTGTGCCCAGGAGGAGCCAAGTGAGTCCCTTGGCCTGGTGAATCTCATAAACTTGGCAGTGGCTTTCAAGTAAGTGCTCATCCATCCCTGTTGTGAGCCAGAGCCCTGCAGCCCATCTGCAGCATTAGGATCCCTGTGGCGTATGAGCCTTTGGGAGCCTCCATGGGGCACAGGCAGATGGGCCTGGGGAACTTGTAGCAAAAGCTTGTGCCACAGCTTCCTCAGCTCGGGACCTCATCAGTTCAACAACTGTGTAATAGAGATGGGTATCTACTGCTACTGAAATATCTGTGTAGGATAAGGCTGCAGTATGAAAGAGTCGTTGTCAGTGAATGTAGGCAGGTAGCAGCCATGTAAACTGCTATTTGCTCTCACAGCTTCCTGGAGGCAGACTTCCTTTTCTACACAGCACCACTGCCCATCACAGCAGGGCTATAGCCGTGCAAACGCTCACCCAAGGAATGGCTTGAATCCAAAACCAGAATGATTCTTCCCTACCAGAATTCAAGAGAGACTTCCAAGGTAAGATCCTCTTGCACGTGCCTATACAATGTATTTGATTTTAAGCTGAATTGCAGGACAGGAGCTGGCTTTTTCATACACCCTGGCTCAGCATAAAATGAGTTCGTTTCAAGCACTTGATCTTTGTACTTTGGCAACGACCTTGCAGTGCTACACACACTGTCAATCCTCAGGTGGCTGTAATTCACACTTTGCTAATATGCCTACAGTGCAAAGCACGTGGTATGCAGATGCACGGGGGTGGCAGAAGGCTTGTCCACAGCTACATGCAGAAGCGAGAGCTCAGACATGTGGGTGCTTACCTCTGCACTAGGAGCTGCAGGCTGGCTGGCTAGCTGCTAAGTTCCCAGGAGTGTTTGCAATGAGAGCTGCTGCCCTTAAAGATTGAGGCTGCTTTTTCTGCCTGACAGGGATAGCATTCTCCTCCAGCAGAACCAGAACAGGCAGGCAGATTAGTTTAATTTTTTATAATATTGTATGTTCTAATGGTCTTATTACTTGATTTTTTTATTTTTTTTTTTTTTTTGCATAAGCACAGAAAGCCTTGCCATACAATTGACTGTGGTAGGTGCTATATGAAGAGCCAGAACATGATGCATTCCCCCAGGCTGCTTATAATATCGTGTAAGCTTAAACCTCCCAAATTACTGTTTGACAGCTAAAAGTCCTTCAGGAATGCAAGGCAGCAATCCGTTACAGGTAGCATGAGCACCTTTTGCAAGTGGCTGTCACTCATCTGCAATCCCTATCGCCCCAGTGCTTCAGTCTTTGGAGCACCCATGCCAAAGCAGCCAAGCAAGAGTGCAACATTTGATACGTCAGTGACACTGATGTCAAGGATCCTTGCAGGAAGTAATTTAGGACTGAGAGCTGCTAAGCCAAGCCAAGCAAGTCACTGACCTGTACACAGGAGGTGGCAGCAGTAGGGTTAATCACAGCTGGTAGGGTGCTGCTGAAACCTTCTAGGCCTTTAAGACTTTGCCTCTGATAAGGAAAAAAGCAAACTAGTGAAATCTGAGCTGAGCAGTCTCTTTTTTTTTCTCCTCTCCCAGCACAACTGCATGTGATTCGTCTGGGCTGGCAGTGCTGAGCTGGGCCAGCAGGTAGCAGCCAGGGCAGGGACCTCTGGAGCTGAGTCAGCTGAAAGAACAGCACTTTTTCTCTGTCATTGTTTGCCCTTCACGAGCGGCATCTCTGGGGCAATCAGCTTAACCCTTTAGCCTTTCCTCTGAGCCAACAAACCAACCCAAAGCATGAGAAATAGCCTGGCAGGGGCCAAGGAGCTTCCAGGCCACAGCTTCCTTCCTGCTGCAGCCTCCTCTGCCTATCTCCTCCATCTCTGCTTTCACTCTGCTCAATTGTGAATCCAGTAGATTCTGGGCTGGTTCCTGCTGACCACCTGCATGACAGGATACTCCTGCCCTATGACAATCCCCTTTTTCTTCTGCAATTTACTTCGAGGTTAAAATCTCATTTCCCCATAGGATGTGGGGAGCCTTGTGTGCATGCTTATATCCAAACACATACAGATGCATTTGAGAGCTAGCTGTGTCTCTGTGAAGTGCCTTTGGAAGATGCAGATCAGCAGCAGCTTTTGCTAACTGTAAATTTCTAGTTGCAGGAAGCTGCACACATTGCTTAACAAACAAATAATAAAAAAGGAGGGTCAGTGAGTTACTGCATTTCTAACAGCCTTAGCTGTAAAACATCAGCACATGCAGGCAGTCGGGGTAGTTGTGGTGATTAATGTCATTTTTTTTCTTTGGGATTAGAGGTTGTAACACAAGAGGAACAAACAGATTGAATACTTCACAGTTCTTGTTTTTTTATTTCATTGTAATTGGCTTACGTTATTAATTGTAAGTGCATAGTTGTAATGCTGTAGAATTTGTACATAAAGGGACATCAAGCATCATCTCAAAGGGCAAAGTGATTACATTTGTGTAATTTCTCATGCTAAAAATCTTAGCCTTTAGGTATCTGAGTAAGATTCATCATTTCTCCTTCTATCAATATAATTAGAATCACTACAAGCAGTCAAATACATACATTTTGGAGAAACTAACTGACAAGCAGTAATGTTTGTTATAGAAGTTGACAGCCTTGTGTGAGGAGGGTGCGCTTCCAGCAGTCCTCTCCTGGGTGCTCACAAACAATCCACAGGAGGTGCTTTCACTTTGAAAGCTTTAGTTATGTTGCTGAGGGTACAGAAATCTGAAAGAAGGCAGAATTGTCCCCTAATATTTCTCATCACCAGTTTTAAGCCACAAATAGCCCCCTCAGTGAGTGTTAGAATTGCTGTGTGAGAAAGTGCGAGGGGTGCAGGAGCACAAAGGACAGGCTTAGTGTAGCAAATGGCATTGGATGTCTTTACTTTTCTGGCTATTACATTTCAAAAAATAGTATGGCATTAATTTAAGATGTGGTGTGATTTTTTTATTTTTTTTTTTCCCCAGGTGGTAGAGCTCAGTAATAAGGGAAGGGACACACTGTTCCATCTCCCTGCCCCTGCTGCTTTGGGTTAGTGGGAAAAGCTTTTAAGAGATGAATGGAGCAGGGAATGGGCAGCATCTGTTGCCAGCTAAGCACAAACAGAAGGGGAGTGATTTGATTGAGTGAGGAAGAAATTATTTGTACCCAGACCAAGGAGAGATGCAGGAACAGTTGTGAAAATCAATTGCTTTTCCTGATTCATGCTAATCTGTTCTGCCTTATGCTGGGGTAAATGGAAAGAGAAAGATTAACCTTTAGATTCTTGTCAGGAAGGGGGGGGGGAATTCACATAATGCCACCATATTGAATTATAATCCAGGCAGTGAGTTAAAACAGAGACAACCTGCTTGTATTGATGGGTACAAATTTCTTATCTAATATTATATTGAATTTCTCCTTCAATGTTTTCTCCATTTCTTCATCTGCAAGGATTCTGATTTCCACCAGATCCATGTTATCCTTGTAATTGTACTTTATCTCAGTAAGCTTCCACCCAACGAGTGCCCGGACCCCATCGGCGGTTTGCAGGCTGCAGATGGACTTTGTAACAAAAAGTGAGTCTGGGGCAGTCTGCAGGTACAGATTTCTGGCTCTAAACTCTTCTATGTCTTGGGGCTGGAGGGTGAAGAGATAAACTCGACGGCAAACTTCTTTGTCCACGTTATGAGGAGCAGTGTTGCTGTGGTTGGGAACGTACTGCTTCCTTTTCACCTTCTCAAGGTACCAGGTCCCATTCTCTTCTAGGAAGCGAAAGATGCCGGGTGTCTGAGGCTGATCTTTCCCCGAAATCAGCTCCATCGGCTGCCATATCTGGTAGGCCATCCCAAAACCACCGTCCACAATGTAGGATTTGTCATGAAGCACCACTTTTAGCAACAGATGATCAATGTCATCAGCGTATGCATCGTGCTCCGGGACATAAACTTTTGCTCCCAGCAGGGTGACGTTGTACCCTAGGGTTTTCAGGGCCCAAGACAAGAGGTGGTTGTTCTCCATGCACCAGCCCCCACGTTTCTTCCTCACTATCTTGTTGTAAGTGGCTGTTAGATCCAGCTCGATGCTTTCCCCACAGTGAATGCTGAGGTTCTCAAAAGGAACTGCTTGGATGTGGTGTTGGAATATTTCTGTCAGGGTTTCCAGGTCTGGTTTATCATGGGAGCCTCGGTAAGAAATTCTGGCAAAATACTCCTTGATGTCCATGCTGCCTTGGAGAAAAGGGTGAAAAAAACACCATAGTTTGTGCCAGAAGTAACGGAAGGATCTTCCTCATCCATTATATTGATGACAGCCCCGTTATGAAACAACCCACTCAGAAGAGGAATGGGGTTTGACAAATGGCCCTATCCAAGGCAGCTGAGTGCAAGTATTAGCACTGGGGGAAGTCAATGGGGCACTACTGATGAGCACAAATGTTATTTTTAATTGTTTCTTTTACAGCTGTGATGAGAAGCTCCAGCTGTGCTAAGCACATTTCAGCAGAGAGTTCCTGCCCAGCAAAGCTACAAATCTCTGTAGGAAGGAACAAAAACAGTAGCAGCTCTGTTTTCCTGCTAAAAATTATAGGAACTGAAATTCTCCAGCTCTGAACTGCTTTGCACATGGTTTGACTCAGCAAAGCAGAAGTAGAAAATAGACCCCTCCCTTCCTCCCCCCGCCCCTTCTTCCCCACAGTGCAAGCCAGAGCGTTGTCTTCAACCACGTCTGAAATTAATCTGTTTGCCCATAGTGTGGTCTTCATGATTTAGGCAGGATGTATCTGCTCTATCTGCTCTCAGTGCTGATGGCAGCAGATGTAACTAGGAGTCCTTACTTAGGGCTGTGAGCATTGCCCTGCGTGAGCAGAGGGGAAGAAAGCATCTTAAGCACCCCCCCTCTTTCTGTGAATGTGGCCACAATATCTTTATTATCCCAGCCTGGCACCAGTGCATCTCAGATGGATCTGAGTGTAGAGCACTAATCTTCAGATCATGGACCTGCTCTCACATGGCATCCATGTGTGGTTATTAAGGTAAAACCATGAGAAAATCTCCAACTGTTGCAACAGGGTTAAGTTCTCAATATACAGTAAATTGTATGGGAGTTTGGGAAAGATAGTTTCAGTATACATGCAAAGCAGTGAGAACACAAGCTTCCTATGTGGCAGAGTGTCCCGGGAGAAGCAGAGGGTGTTCACAGGATACAGATGTTCAGAAATCTGTCACTATTGCACTGTGACAGGTATATGAAATTCAACCAGCAGGCCTGAGTTATCAAACACTGGGTTAAGAGCGTCCAGTCATTATTCCAGGCCTTCTCTTAGTTCAGCTTCTGGCTTGTTCCCAAGCTTTTCCTCTGAACATCACAACTACAGCGCTTGCAGTGGGAGCGGTAAAGCTGATATCACCAGCACTGTGCTTCTTCCCCCCTCATCCCCACACCTCTTTCTTTCTTCCTTTCCTTCGCTTTGCCCAAGTAGGTGAAACATTTACATTAACTTAAAGGGAAAACACTGGCCTTACAGAGTTTATTTGTCTTCCTGTCTGCTTCTTGTGGTTCCTTATAAAGCCCTTTCCATAGCTGAATCTGAAATAAGTCAGATGGCACAAATGCTCAAACAAATGTTGGAGGCTGATAACCACGTAAATAATCTGTTACACTGACACAAAAGGAGGCACTGGTAAGCAGCTGAACGTTGCTCGCTCTGCTGTTACACAACCTGGCTGTTTGCTGCTCTCAGACGTATCTCACTTCCTGGTTAGGAAGAGTGCAGCTGCCTAAATTCAGGGGTTAAAGAAAGGTCTTACCTGGAAAATCAGTTCAACTGCAAACGGATCTCCTGGGACTTGGGGGGATTTATTTTAGGCAAAAGCAAGTGGCGTGGCTGGCTGTCCTTTACTTAGCACGGGGTCGAGGACTGCCCAGCTCCCTTCCTGGGGAATGCCCTCTCTCTCAACTTGCTTCCACCCGCCTCTGTCAGACTGCAAGAGCTGAAAGAGGAGGAGAAAAGAAAAAAAGAAAAGGGTGGAGCACAAGAGCTGGAGTGAGCAAAAAAGAGTGACAGCACTGACTCGATCCACATTCAGAACCTGGTCTTTATTAGAGCAGAGGTTGCCTGACATTTTCATTTGTCTCATGCTGCCAGCAGCAAATCTCGGGCTAAGAAGAAAAGGGCGAGCTTTTTTGTTTTGCTATCTAGCCAAACGCACGTGAGTGATATAAACTTACCCTGGGTACTGGCTTACTGCTTCTTTGGGTACATGGGAAAGAATCCTTGCATTCATTCTGTCTGAAAAGCAGCAAGATTTCTGCATGGGGTCTTGCACCTGTAAGCCCCTGCCTCAGTCAGCCCACACCCTAACTTTAGTGTTTGCTTAATTCACACTTTTTAATTTACATGCTTGTTTGCTTTTTTTTTTTTTTTTTTTAATTTATTATTACAGCAGACTTTGCAGAATGAAATTTCACAGGATAAGGCTGGGCCAGCAGTGTGCCTGCTTTGATCTCAGCTCAGTTTAGCATCTAAGGATGCTGTGGTGGTGAATATGAAGTGTGAACACGTGGGGAACTCCATCCCCTCAGTGTGCTTCACACTGCTTTTCTCTGTACACATGTTGCTTGCATTCTTCCAAGCTAGGACTAATTAATTCTCAATATACATGGATGGATTCTTCTCTGTTAAGTCCCTCCTTCATATTTAGTATCACTAGCAAGTTTTGTTCAAGCACTGATTTATTGTGATAACTGGTAGAGATGATAAATCAGACCCAAGATGCCTGTGGTAACACAGCTCCACTGCCATATCAAAATGTGCCTCTTTATCATCCCATCAGCATCCGGTGTTTCACCCAACCAGACAGAACCAATGCCCAAGATGAGAGATGCTCAAGTAGCAAGTTACCTGCCTTTCTTGGGCTCCTCTGGTCACGTCCAACCTGATGAAAAGAGAAGCCTCACGTTCCCTCTGTAGAGCTTGCTGTACATAGGCTATTCCATTCTCTTTTCACATGTCATTTCAACAAAGAGCAGCCAAACTACAAGCAGGGAGACCAATACTGCTGGGGGGAACCATACTAAGAAGAAGTCCAAGGTCCCATCACCGCACTGTGCATGCAAACCCAGCCACAATCCTTGCCCAGAGTCATTGCTCCTCTAACCATTAAAACCAAGAGTTCTCATCTGGTACTGCTTGCACCCAAGGAGGTCAGAAGACTAAAGGTAAGATAAGGTTCCTCTTAACCAGAAAGCCCTACCACAGACTTTCCGTTTCAGCTCTGTGTCATATCATCATGGTTCATTCCAGGCTTAGCAGGGCAATAAAATGCAATTACTACTGCTGTGTAGCATGGCCATGATATGCCATAAAGCCCCACTTGAGTCCGTCCTCAAAAGTGACAAAGGGCAAAGCCCAGCCCACGCCGCACAGAGCACTTGACCAGCGATGACCCGTAACTCAATTTCCCAAACTTGGCAGGAGCTGAAGCTCATTGAGCATTTTCCAGAAGAGCATCAATGTAATTGCACATAGCTTTTATTTATTTATTCATTTAAACTGCCGCCAGCATTTAATTTATTACTGAAATCTTTCTCTCATTCTGACTCTCCGGAGAGGCTGCATCAAATATTCCTCCCTCCCCCCCTTTAGCAGAGCATTACATGCTGCAATATTTGCTTGAAGAAATACAAGCATTAAGGCACCCTGGCTAGGGGAGTGTTGTGCAATTGAGTGTCTACTCACCGTTGAGCAGTTCCCACTGTAGTGCCCTCTGCAATGGGCTCTGTAACAAAGTACAGATTATTATGTTAGCTGGGTGCTTAATATAGAAATGGTGGGGTATTCTACTCATCTAGCTGGTCTGGGGTGAGAGGAAAGAAAAGAGGCTTTTAAACTAATAGAACATCTGACATGTTTTAAATGGAATAAAATCTTAAATTCTTACACAGCTTTCAATTCTTCCATACTGCTGAACTCTCAGTGGCTGCTCAAAATAAAATGCTACACATCCCAAGCTGAGCAGTGTGCCCTATCCCACCATTTCCAGAGGGATTTTAATACCTGTATGCCACTCTAATATGTGAGTAGTAAATAATATTCATGGCCTGTAAGCAATATTTATAATGGTAGAGCTCATGCTTCGTATTCATTGCCTTGATATTGCATATCAAGCAGCTGTGGCTGCGTATCTCCTCTTTGCATCCCTCACGTCTGGGTGCTGCAAGGAGTCCTCTGATGGGCCAAGGAAAGAGCCTGCAATGGCAGCAGTGACTTTTGCCCGTGGAAGGTGGTAGCTGTGCTTGAATTGCTTGGCTTTCTCTTGGCAGAGAACAGACAAGACCACAGTTTTAGCATCTCTATCATCTGAGACGTCTTTCTGAGAGCGGGTGAGAGTCAAAAATTCTCTCTTCTCTTTATCTTTACCCTGCCAATATGAGGTTTTTCACACAAACTAACACCAAGCATGCTAATGCAGACCAAGAAGACCACTCTGGCCTGCAGGGCCTTTTGGTCCAGAGGGTTTCAGCATAAATCTCTTAAATGCGAGTGGTCATAAGTCAGTTAAATTCCATTTCAGGGGGAACAATAAGCTTTTCTACATGAACAGTTTTATCTCATTTTAAATAGCTGCTTTGATGAAAAATATATCCATTTACGTGGCTTTTATTTTCCCATGGATCACGACTGCTGTGGTGGACAGGACAGAGTTAGATCCTCAGCAGCATGTGTCCCCAGCACCCTGGGCCATCCTACATTCCCTGTGCTTCTGCCAGCTCCAGCATGAGTATGGGGAAGCAGAAGTTGTCCTCCATTTCACAAGCAGTGATCACACCCTCAACACGTCCTTCTCCATCTTGCCAAGGCTGAGTGGAGGGGCATGATGGAGGTTGTGCTGAAGACTTGTCTGCCACCCAGAGAGGGGTTTGGTGGCCACAAGGTGGGAACTGGGAAGGAGCAGAGCTCATGTGTCCCTTGGCCAGACCCGACTGCTCATGCCCATCTGTCCCACAGCAGTCTTGCTGTGGCCAGGAGCTGCTGAGCATCCTGAGTTCTAGCAATGGCCATGCTGGGGGAAAAGAGGTGCCAGACAGGTAGGAAGGGAGCTCTTTCTGAGCTGGGCAGGCCCTGGCTGGTCTCACACTGCATTATTGGGGTTACGCCATTGGCAAGCTTGCATCCCTCTCCTTACCACCAGCTTCCCCCTCAGCACAGCCTACAAACGCACTGCCCAAAACACTCCTTACCAATTGGGATGTAAAGTCAGCATCAGTGAAGTCACACGTAAATATTTTCAAAGGAGAAATATATCTAACCAGAAACAAAACCTGAAACCACGGCCTGGACATCCCCATCTGCAGCCACCCCATGGCAAATCCTCCTGGTGCAGTCTATCCCCATAACCACCGTCAGCCAAGAGAGAAGATTTCTTCCCATTCAAACCATTGGAGCTTGGGGGTCCTCCTACAGCCTGCTGCAGCTCACATACATGGTGCTGCAGGCGCTCAGATGTCAGTTTCAAATCTCAGCTCTGCAAAAAGCACGTGAGCTCCCTCCTTCCCTCTTCATCAGACCATTGCATCCACTGCCTCAAAAATACTGCAGTGCCTTCCAAAATCAATACACAATATGCCCCCAGAGCACCTTTGGAGACCCAAGGCGTTAATCTTTCTCTCTTCATTTCAACATCCCACCTAGACACTGGATATATTCCGTTCTCCCAGCTTTTTTGTGCAGATATATACACTCCCAAGATTAAGCAGTTAATAAATGCCATCACGTTAAGCTGTAATTGCTGAAGGGAAGTGTGACAGTGTAATGTGTAATGGGCCTCAGCGAGGCTGGACCCTGAGCTGCTTTCATTTCACATTTTCTAATGAGAGCTGTCGGTCACGCTTCAGAGCCACACGGGGCATTTCTTCCCCTGCTCCTCTGGCACAGAGCTGCAGTGGGCAAAATGGGCATCCACAGCAGAGCCCATGATCAAAGGAGGTGGTGTATGGGGCAGTACTCATCCCTGAAGGACACATTTCCATTTTCACCATCATTGGTAGCAGCAATAGCAGGGCAATGTTTTTTGCATGGATAGAAAGGCCTCATCTGACAATAAAGCTGTTACATTGGTCTTAATACAAAAACCAGAAGAGATACCTTTAAAATTAAATCACTGATCACTTGCAAAAACTCTGTACTGTTGCCAAATGAGTATAGAAAACAGTCCGTGACCAACACACGCAATCCAGCTGTACAGGTGTGACCTACCTGCACAAAGAGGGCCTGCAAGGCACCAAGCTCTATCATCAGATCAGCCTCTATCATTATCAGCCTGGGTATTCAAACCTGTTTACCATGTGCAAAGAATATCTTTGCAAAACGTTTCAAGAGGAAATTACTCACAGCTAATCCACAGGTGCACTGATGGAAGGAGAAGCATTTACCTGAAGGAATACTGTGGGGAAAAAACACTGCTGTGAGCGGGATATAAAGCAACCAAAAGAGCATCTCAAAGGGAAATAGTCTTTAATTGGCCTAAACAGAAAATATACTGGCTTTAATTCATGTGTTTTCCATATAGAGATCTAATTTGTATTACAGGAAAATATGCATATATAGAAATACACACACACACATATATTAGCTGTGAAAAACGAAATCCCCACCTGGCTCTCAGCCTGCTTCTCCAAAAAATCTCCAAAAGAAAGCTGCTGTTTCAATGAGAAGGCTCTCGTTGAGTTCAGGGGGAATGACACTCAGCCCTATTTCAGGCAGTCAGCCTGGAAACACACAACACGAGGAACAATTACATGAGTTCTGTCATTCCTGCTGCTCAGATATTTTAGGTTTTGGAAAAGTAGGTGGGAGGGAAACCTTTTATCTCCATGAAGAGCAGGAAACAGAGATGCACAGTGACAGCAGAAACTTGCACCTTCAGAAAACACATTCATTATAATTCACTATCATGCATCACAAATCATGCACGTTTGGGATGACACCACTGTCCCCCTCCCTGTTGCTGAATCAGGAGCAGGGAGAAAACAGCAGAGATGCTCTGGGTTCACAGTGCTACCCCCCAGACTCACCCGAGGTGGTTTGGCTGCATGAAGGAGATCTGGAAGCAATGGGGATTCAGAAGCATGGAGCTGGTCCTGCAGGGGTCTTCTACACCAGCCCTCAGCGTTCAGTAGCCCCAGTGCAAACACGATCAGTATAAATCATGAGCATGGAGCTGGGTGTCTGCAGAGCTGGGTGTCTGCAGATGTATTTTCCTGGTGGAGAAGCAAAAGGTGGTGGAGCAGGGGTTACTGTGGCAACCTGCAACTCTTGCCTCTCCTCTCCGCTGTGCTCAGGAGCAGTGCTGAAGGACATGGATGTCACATCAAGGTGGCACTGCAGGGACTGGGCCAGCATGAACAGCACAGACACGGAGTGGGAGGTATGCAGCACACACAGCTCCATGGGAGAGCAGGAACGAGGGGCTGCAATGGCTCCCTGCTCCAACACCTGCATTGCTCTCCATTGCATCCTCTGAACATGTTCTCATTTCCCACATCTCCTCTGCAAAATACCAAATCCTGCCCAATGCAGCACCACCTCCAGCCCCTGACCCACAGCAGCATTATTTTCCCAGCAAGTATCAGTTAGATCCTTGACCACCCAAACTTCAGACTGGCCTTTACTGTGAGATGACGAGTCTGGCAGCACCACTTCTGTACGTTTCCAGCCTATAAGGTAAAAAGCAGCTAATTTCCATGCTGCATCATCACTCTGTCACAAATCAATGCTACAATCCAGGTCAGTATTTCCTCCCAGGCAGATGCTGAGGATGCTGTCATGCTGGAAGACTGTCACCAGCCTTCCCAAAGCAGATATTCAACAGGAGCTGTAGTAAGAAACAGGCATTGAGAAGTGGCTGGAGGCCACGTCTTTGCCCACGGAAGAACAAGGCAAGCACCACAAGCAACCACCAGTCCTCACACTGTTCTTTCGCCAGTTTTTACCCGCTTTGCTATTGTTCTTAACCAATCCCTACCTTTACCAGCTTAACTAATAATTTTATAGGCAGTATAGTATTGTGAGCTTCACTGCCATGCAAAAGCTCGAGTCTCAGGGCTCATTACTTCCCTCTGGAAGATCACAGCAATCCAGTGGTTAACATGGCTGCCATCTGTAATAACCTGATGCTGGTGCTGGCACTCAGTGCTCAGAGGCAGCCGAAGTATCCCATCTTTGAATTTGTCTCTCCCTTATGCACCTGAGATCGGTGGCAGTAAATATGCTGCTCTCTGGCAATAAATGAGAGCTGCACGGCTGCTGGGGACTCTCCAAAAGGCCCCTGCCATTGGACAGGAGCTTCCTCTGCAAATTTATCAAAGGCTCTCCTGAATGTTTCACTGTAAGAAAATTTGACTGCTTGTTTACGAGGCCACAAAGCTACCCAATTTCAAACCACAAAATCAATGTGCTAAGTGCATCAGTTACCACTGGGTTGCTGCTCCTGCTAACCCCACCGTCATTTTCCATCACTTTGCACAGGGTCAACAACTTCTCCTAATTTAGCTTCATCTGCAGACTTGCACAAAACACCTTCTAATCCTACATGCAAATCAAAACACAGCCCCAGAGCATGATGCAGAGACCAATGCTGCAGCCCCAGCCGTGTCTGCAGTGATACCCTATTGCTGCTCATCCCTCTTTACCATCCCTTCAGCCTTGGGCCAGGGCTTGGAAGAGTTGTGTCCATGCTGTGCATCCCTATCATTGCACAGCTTTCATTTTGCTTTCCTCCCCTTGGAAACCATTGTGTGCTCTAGAAAGCTGCACATCATATATTAGTCCTATTCCCAGCCTCAACAACATCGAGCCGATTTTAGAGGAACGCGCTATGATTTAGTACCATCAGTAAACTCTGCAGAAGCAGTGAGAAATACAGCCCCAGCCACGATCCACACAGAACCCACCCACAGCCTCCCCAGTGCTGGCAGCATCCCCTCAGCCCTTTAATTCCCATCATCTGCCCCATTTGTATCCCGCCTCACTGCTGCCCGTGGTTAACGATCTGATTTTGCATGTTATGCGTTCAAAATGCTCCCTGGCGATAAATGTTTAATTTCTTTCGCTCGTGGCACCTTTGTGAAATATTTATGATCACTAGATGTCACTGTAATTTTACTGTCTCCAGCCTTACCGAACCGGTGTGATTCCCCATGCTCTGCTTGCTCGCAGCTCCTCGTGCAGAATGCATCAGCGATGCGCCCAACAGCCAGCTGCTGCCCTGCTTGGGTGTCCTGCATGGGAACACAGCACAGACCTCATCCTGGGCTTTGCCTGCATTCTCCCAGCACTGCAGTTAATCACACAGGGATAGGAGCCCAGGTATGTCTGCAGAGCATCCTTCTGTTACCTTAAAGATTCTTACAGAATATATTTCTTCCAAGTCAGCTCAAGCGCACACTCTCAATTTCCCTAAATTGTGACTCCTATGATTTCGGAGTTGTGCACATCTTTTGCTGCATATAATTTAAATGTTATGGGCCACATTCCTGCATAAACATGCATGGGATCTTTTAAATTGAAAGCAAACAAACAAACAAAAAAAACCAATAACAGAGAAATGTATGGGAATACCCACACCTTGACCACGTCTCTGTCTGCTGATGCTACACAGGTCACTCACCCCACACCACATCCCACCGGGGAACGCACTGAAAGCAGGACTTCCAAGAAAAATCCATTCTCCAGAATGCAGCACGAAGGTTCCTGATGCAGAGCTGGTGGCTGAGCTGTAAAAACAAAGCTCTTTGCTGGCATCTTTTGGTGAGTGAGGAGAAGGGAGCTGAGGGTCGAAGTGTCCCTGTTCCAGGAGAACTCCGCAGTCAGGGGAGGGAGGATTCTGGTTTTCTCTCTAGTGAATGAATGAACAAAGACATGGAAAAGTAGGGGGAAGAAAATCAGATCCTTTTGGAGAAGGAAGCACTGCCACAGCTGAAAATATTGGAGGGAATGAGCAGTGGGCAGAGCAGCACAGAGCAACGCACCAGCTTTTGTTGCTGCCTCTTTCACCTGTCCAACATTAATACTACATTTCAGGTGCTTGAATGCATTACATTCTGCAACCAGCACTGTCTCACCTTTGATGAGCTTTTCTATTTGGAATTCATTATAAAGAGCTTAAATGAGCAGCAATGCTTCTGAACAAGCGCTTTATTTTTCCATGTAGCCACCAGAGGAGCTTTGTTGATTCCCCTGAGGTCAAGCTCTTTTCATTTTCTCTGCCAGCCACAGTATAAAAACTCCTACATTTCCTTTGAATTCTGTTGATTATTTGGAACCACTGAGTGCTCTCTTTGGAAACTCTCCGCTGCAAATCTATCCCACTATGATGCACCATATTTTGCCTAATGAGTGAGAGCGACATACAAATCAGGAGCTAAAGGGATTTGAAAGTGCTGCCAATGAATTTAGAAAAACGTTAGGGCTATGCTGCTAATCCTGAAAATGAATGGGAACCTTGCCCATACAACCATCCCTGTGTTAGGGGAGCAGCAGGTAGGCAGAAGCAGCTCTGTGCTAATTTGAGACTTATTAGTTCTGAATTAAAATTAACGTAGAGTCACAGCAGCACTTTGCTTGGGGCAGGAGGAGAGTTTTTGAGGTGTGTTAAGGCAGCACCCTAATCCCAACCCTATCCCTTGTTTGCACTTGTCAATACAATGCTTTAATGGGCACGGTGATGATGTGCTGATGACTGGACTAGATGAGCTTAGGGTCTTTTCCAATCTGAATGATTCTATGATGCCAGCTCTCCCTTGGAGTTCCTCTGCCAGCAACAGTGCTGGAGAGGCTTTCATCAAGATAACTGATAAAAATGGTGAGGAAGGATAGAGAAAGCAAAGGGCTGAAGTGGCTAAGTAATGAAAATGACATCCTGGATCAGGTTTTGTATTTACAGCAGACTCTCCTCAAGTTTCTCAAACTCTTCTTAAGGAATTTTATGAATTTTCTTACATGTTTTGAAGGATTATAAATTATCTAGGAATCTGACTGTGCATACATAAAAAGCATTGGAGCAGCTCAATTAAAGGTGGAACATCTTTAAGACCCATTAAACATGGGCAGCTCCCTGCTCATAACATCTCTTGTCAGGCCATTGGCTTACTTCTGGGTAATTTGAGTCAATCAGGAGCCCTTTCAGAAGAACCCAACATAAATAATGATCAATATTAAGTGAGAGACTGCATATTGAGAACTTCCTTCACCCGCTTCTTTTTAGTGATTGAAAAACCAAGATTACACGGAGCACAACTCAAAAGCAGACGGAAGCTACGTGAAACACCCTTACACAGGCATTAGCGTAAATCATATTTTTAAAGCAGATTTAATTGCTGTTTACCCAGCAGTACCCCAGAAGACTAACTTAAACAATACAGTGCCATGAATTCATAGCACAGATTAGTTAAAGCAGATGGTGAGCCCGTGTGGATGCACTCCGTCAGAGAAAACACAGCCATAATTGGATTTATTTTAATTCACTTATCCTTTGACTACAGGAGAAATGCTAGTAACGTTGCTCACGCAGACAAGCCATGAGGCTAGGGCTTTCAAGGAGCTACTGCTTTCATTGTGCACCACGCTGTGTTAAAAACTGGACCTCAGTGGTGGACTCCTTCCACCAAGGAGCCACAGCGGAGCCCGGCTTACAGCTCACCCAACCAAGGCCCTGTGGAAGCCACCAAGGATCCGAGCCCAAAGGGATTGAAATAGCCCATCTCTAAACAGTCAAATGAATACTGAATCAAGTGGCAGCCAGAAAGTCTCGCTGTCTCAAAGCCCCAGTTTCTCCCCTAGCCATAAAACCTGCCAGGCAAACTCTCCTCTGTTTCATCACAAACCAACACGCCTTTCCAAAAATTAGTTTTTGCTTGTTCTGGTTGCAATCATTGCTTGCGTTCTTGAGAGTTTGCAAACATGCTTGAATTAAATTATGGGTCTGGTCACATAATTACATCCTGTACAGTTTTAATTCATTTTTTGCTCCAGTTTAACATCCTGGCTTTGTGCGCAGCATGCTTAAATGTCCAGAGCCACAGCATTCTCACCCTTTATGCCACTGCAAATTCCCTGCAGCCACTAGATGTCACCACGATTTTATTTGCTTTTTAGTCTTTACCCAGCTGGTAAAGTTAAGAACACAGGAAAATAATTACTAATTAATTACAATAACAACAAAACACCTACCATAATGAACACTTTGCTTAGAGAGAGGAAGAAGTGGTCCGGACTCCTGCTTTTGTGCATGCCATCTGTGAGAGTACCCATCCTGCACACAAGGATACGACTTTAATTTGTCTCTTGATGGAAAAAGGACAGTTTTATTTCTTGATGATCCAATTTCCCCAGCTAGACATGAAGCTAAAATTACTTTTTTTAATACATTTACCAGAGCACTATTTAATTCTCCAGCCTCGCTAGCTTGAAAATTATTCTCCCACTCGGTAATTCTGCTGGAACAAAGCAGCTGACAGCGAGCTGCATCACCTGGGAGGGAAGTGGCCAAGGGAAGAAGTGGTGAGGAGACGAACCAAGTGGCTCCACCACACCAGCCATAATCTGGAGGATAAGGATTAGAAGTGGTGTGCATGACCCCACAGAGCTCCACTTTGTCTCACACCTCACAAGCACAAAGTCACATAGATGCAATGCAGAGGTGGAACTGTGGGCCCAACGAGATGCTTGTGCATTCTCACCTCCTTAATTACCCAAATGTCCAGCAACATTAAAGTCCTTCAAATGGGCCTGAGGCTAATAATTCATCTCCTAGATCATGCAGTAATTTGTCAGATCGCTGTGAGACTGCCTGACTGTGGATAAGCCCTGAATGGCATAAATTATTGCATTCCAAGAGGGACTCCTCATTTAACATTTCCTTCCGGATTTCCTGACCTTACCAGGAATGGCACTAACCTTACTGGCACTAATGGCACTAAATGGGCAGAGGCCCATGTTGTTTCTTCTCACAGAGGTAAAGCAACACCCTCCCACAGCAATAACAACAGGGGATGCCTGTGTTTGTCTTAAGGATCATCCTGCACCTCCAACAGCACCTATTCTTTCAGTCTGTAGCCCACTGTCTTCCAAGAAAAGCAAAACAAAACAGGTCTTACTGCTCTTTGAGTCGAGTCTGTTATTTTCAGTCTTGTTTCAGAACACATAATATAATTAATGTAAGAAATAAGAGCAGCTCAGAACTTCATCCAAAGATGACAGGTCCAAAAAATATCTCGACTTCAAAATATTACTATCCAAGTTGTTCATCTTAAGTCTGGTTTATGATTACTTCTTCCAGCAGTGCTGCTGTACGTGGAATTAATTGCACCTCGTGCACTTTCTGTAGAGAAAAGGATGAAACAGATTATGCATTTTATCAGTACTTCTTGCACAAATATATAAAGAGCAAAGGTTGCTTATTTTAATTTCTTTCATGCAAGTATGTCTGTAACTGTCACTTTATAACTTGCTACTGATTGTAAAGTTGATGCAGGTTATCTTTAATTTCAGAGTTTTCCTTAGGAAGTAGCCTTCTTCTAGGATTAAGGAATTAATTTAAATTTAAAATTACCTCTTTTAACAAAATATCTTCAGTTTTCTCTGATAGTAAAGCATGTGCAATACCCAGTGGAACTGGCCACATCTTGCTTTCATAAGAAAGACAAAAAGAAGCGTGACTCTATGTAGGTCAAAGTCTTTCATGTCTCATTTCCTCTACTTTTCTCCTCTCTCCTCTTGCTTCCCACACCACCCTGCTCACAGACAAGAGATCCACCTGGCAGACAGGGTAGGTGGTCCTATACCCACATACCTTATCCCTGGTAAGAGGTGATGGATGCTCCCTACAACTCCCTGAAAGGAGGTTGCAGTGAGGTGGGGGTTGGTCTCTTCTCCCACGTTACAGCGATACAGGGAGAAGGAATGGCCTGAAGTTGTTCCAGCGAGGCTCAAGTTGGATATTAAGAAACATTTCTTCTCAGATAGAGCGGTGATGCAGTGGCACAGCTGCCCAGGGAGGGGAGGACTCACCAACCCTGGAGGTGTTCGAGAACCATGGAGATGTGGCACTGAGGGACAGTGGGCATGGTAGGAGCAGGCTGACAGCTGGATTAGATGACTGTAGAGGTCTTTCCCAACTTTAATGATTCAGTGCCTTCCTATATGCTGATCACACTGCTGGGTGAGAGTGGCTGTTGTTGGGCTAACTTCTGCCTCAGGCAGGAGATGATCACCTCAGCAACCTGCTGGCAAGTCTTATTCACAGTCTGCCCTTAAAAAAGAAACACAGCTTCAATGACAACAAATGGGCATTTCCTTCTCCAATAGATCCCCCCTTGTCAAAGTCTCAGTGCAGGCAGATAAAGGATTTGAGAGCCCAGCTTTCCATGAGAACCCCAGTCCCTTGGATGCTTTGGCCTCCCCCAAAGCCAGCGCCAATGTGACCAATGGATGTTGCAGAGGTGACCGGTGCAGAGGCACCACCACTGCCATGAATAATGCAATGGGGCAATGGCACCTTGCTATTTCTCAGCCTTGTTAGCTTAATATAACTTGTTTATCTATTTACATTAAGCCTGACACCTCAGATGCCCTGATGTATTTTATGATACTTTCTTGCTTTTGATGGTCCTGTTTATGATTCAGCATACAGTACTCCAGTAATCAATATTCTGTCTGGTTGGACATTTTATTTATCAACAGAGCCACCATATGAATTCAGTTGGTTTCCTGGAGGTCAAACATTTTTCATCTTCTCCATGAGCTAAAGAAAATTGAAAGATTTAAACTGCCTTTGAATTCCTTTGATTAACTCAGGGAAAATATCTCACTTTCTTTTTTTTCTCCCCAACTCAGAATGGGAAATGTGTTCTCTATAAATCTGCCTCTTTCTGACACATTGATCTCTGCATAATGGCTAACACCAAGTGTTCAGGCATAAACTAGAAGATGAAGAAAGCTATAGAAGAGGTATGAACAATGCTTTTATCAGCCCTCATCAGCATAGACACATAGACATTCTGAATCAGATTTAAAGAAAGAAAGTAAAATCAGTAAGATCTGTATAATTAATTAGCTATGAAAGAATCTGGGAATTGCACTTCCGTGGCAAGAAAACACCTACACTGCATCAGCAAACATTACACAGTGTTATGTACGTACGTCTATCACTCCCTCAGTTGGACTGAATTCTCTCCACATGTGTGTGATGCCATCATCTCCATCACGCTGCTTTAGAAGTAAGAGGAAGCCCATTGCTTTCCACACACGGGGAGGACAAGAGCAGCTGAAAGCCAGATCTTAGCTCCTAGGCACCTCCCCTGCACAGCTCTGCAGGGCACTGGACTGCATGGGCAGGGACAGCAGCAAAGAAGCCCAATGACTGAACCAATTAATGAAAATATAATAATGAAATTATACTCTGGATCGCCCTCATATAATGTTTTCCTGTTGAATCTTTCTTTGTTTGTAAAGTTTTAAAGTCACATCTTAAAAAGTGCTTATGATCCACATAAAGTTGCATCCTTTAAAATAAAAGCACGTCATAAAGCCCCTTCAGTCAAACAAGAATATTCCCATACAGACACACTTGCATTTGGTGGCTTGTTCCTAGTTTTTGGATTTGTTTCAGAATTGGTTTAAGATTAATTAAAACAAACCACTCTTTCAGTGCCTTGCAGCTTGCACTCGTTTAACTAAATTAACTCAATGGGGAAGGCAGAGTGAGGTCCAGACAGTGCAGTGATTAAGAAAGACATGAAGGGGTGGCAAGAGCAAAAGCAGCTCCCAGCTTTCACACCTCCATTGCAACAGTGGTTGTGTGCTACTGAGGTAATATGGCCAGCCTGCAATCAAGGAAAACACTTGAGAACCCAAGCTACTTGTGGTTGGAGGTGAGCAGTGTCCTGGCAAGCAGAGCAAGGCGACCTTCATCTCACAGCGTGAGATGCAACATTCCAGCAATGTTTAGGAATGTTTTTCTTAAAGTACAGTCCTTCACCATGTTAAAATAAAGCCTTCCACTGAACCCGTAACAAACATCTCCTGGTGAGCTGACTCACAGCTCCGTGAATCATCGTACATTCAATCAATCAGTGACTGCTTGCTTTTTTTTTTTTAAGTAGCAAATGATGTTGTATGTTATTAGTTTCTTGGCACCTTTTACCAGGCTTTCATCAAAGCAAAATGCTGATGCAATTAGCAAAGGATATCAATTTATGCAGCAATTCGCATTATCCCTCAAAGCTTCATTAGCCCCAGAAGCTAACGCACTGGAGAGAAAATCTGGGGAAGCACTCTGCTACCTTCTGCAGCTCAGTCCATCTGCACTGCTGCAGAGTGCAAAGTGCACCCCATCTGGGGAAGGAGAGCTGGCAGCACCCAACTCCAAGCACTGGGGGGCGAGCACAGGGACTGAGTTCTGTCCCATCCACCCCAGTTCAACCTACTCATGTATTTTGCACAGATCCAAGACTTGCTGTGGACACACAGCAGACTCAGAACCACTGGGAGGCTTTTCACAAGGAAAACAAATGAAAAAAGAACCAGCACATTTTCTGTCCTAGAGGCACCCCGCAGCTCCAGCCTGTGTGTAATGCTCTGCTGCCATCATGTTGTGCCCTGACCTCCTCATGCTTCTCCTCTTGTTCCCTATAAACACTCCTGAGGTCAACAAGGCATTGTAATTGCCCCATTATTTCCTGGAAAACCCAACGTCAGCAGATGCTGGTGGGATAGAAATCTCACTCAGCTGCCCTTTGCCAGGACGATAATGTGGTCTTTACAACTCTGAACACAGCCATCTCTTTATACCTGTCATATTTGGCCTCCAGATTTCTTTCTCTTTTTCCTTTTTTTTCTTTTATACTTTCAGCTGAATAATTTTTATTACATTGATCCACATAGGCATCTGCCTCTCCACAGCTTTGAATACAAGCCTTGCCCTTGACTGCACAACATAATGAAAGCCTTTAGGTCACAGCTTTTAGAACACTTGATATTGCTTTTTCTTTATGGAAAGAATAAATAATGTTAACCTCCCTGCTAGTGGAGAGCAAAAACAGGAAACAAAAGGCTCTAGGTGCATGACAAACCAGCTGGTATTGGACTTGGAGGACCCCAAACCCATTGACTAGCTTGCACGACTTGAAACAAAATTAAATCATCTCCCAGTTAGCTGAATAACTGAAGTGCATCAGCAGATCTCCAGATAGATCCTTCAAACAGCCACAGCAGCTGTGTCTGGGTGAAAAACTGTTTGCCTCTGCTGGGGCTGCTCTGTACAAAACCCCACAGATGTTGCCCCAGAGCTGGCTGGAGGACATGGGTCACTCTGATGGTTTCATGGGGCAGGCAAAGCTCAGCTGTGCTGGCAGCAGAGCAGGTTTCCTCTGTTGACATCTTCAGGAGCAGTAAATATACTTGAGCCACGTGCAAATCATTAGGCTCAACAAAAAGGATCTGATCTTTCACTAACTAGAGGGGCTAGAAAAAGGAGACAAACTCTTTAGCAGGGTCTGCTGTGATTGGATGAGGGGAAGTGGTTTCAGACTGAAAGTGGGGAGATTTAGACTTGATATAAGGAAGAAGTTTTTTATAATAAGGGTGGTGAGGCATTGGCACAGGCTGCCCAGAGAGGTGATGGGGATTTCCCACCCCAGGAGACACCCAAGGTCAGGCTGGACGGGGCTCTGAGCACCTGATGGAGCTGGAGATGTCCCTGTTCATTGCAGGGGAGCTGGACAGATGGCCTTTAAAGGTCCCTTCCAACTCAGATGATGCTATGAGTCTATGATTCTATGCCTATGCCAGCAGACCACACTGCTCTACTTATAGGTCCACAGTAGATGTAATATCTATGGATTTATGGAAAATTACAAGAAGTGATAGAATTTAAGTCAGAGTCTCATTTCTGCCTGGTATAAATGCAGTACTGAGATACATCAGAGAGAAACTTGCTGGAGACAATTTTACACAGACCCAGTCCTTAGGACAGTTCCCCACATACATCTTACCCACACCTGAAGTGCACAACCAACCTGTGTCAGCCTGGCTCACTTTCTGTAATCACCCCTGTTCTCTTGAGCTGGGGTCATTTGCATCCTACACAGACAACTGTGCAGCTTTCTGCCTCAGTCCACATAGCCAGAAGCTGGCTACAATGTTCATTAGAAGACCTTACCAAATGGAGAGGGACAGTGAATGCGTTCCTCTGGGAAGGTGCCACCTCATCTCCCATGGTCTACAGGAGCACGTTCAACTTCTTGTACTTCACTGGGTAGATAAGTTCAATTCCCAGCTAGAAAAAAGCCACGATAGTCCTGATTGGAGCAAAATGAACAGCAGAGAAAAACTTTCCCGCCCACTTTTTGGGAAGCAGCCCTCCCTCTCAACAGACCCAAGTGAAACAAAAAGAAAATGGTGCACGTGTTCTTACATATATATCTAATACCTCCCATTAAAAGAATGAGTGCTCTGAGGCAAAGACCACCTCTTATTCATTACTCCTTTCCACATCCTTCTACCCTATTGCAATTTTCCAAGAAGAAAGAGGTGAAAAAACATACAGTGCAATTAATTGCACTATTTAAATGCCTATCACAGCATGAATTATTGTCTCTCTAAATTTTTTCCAGCAGCTTGAGAAACAGCAGGAATTAGCAGAGGGGTTTTTGACTGAACCTTTCCATTTAAACAGACTGCTTTCTTCTGGCTTCATGCTTGCAAATGCAAGCAAGACTAACTGCTAAAAAAAAACACTATGTTATTGCCACGCCAGAGATGAGAACAGAGCAGTGATGACAGCATTAGCATGGGACACAGAAGAAATGCACTGAGTTCCAGCTCTCATGTGTTATGTGAGCTCAGGTACATCTCATACAGCCAAACCTGAGAAGCAGCCACATGCCTCAGTGTGAAGATCAGCATCCTGTGGGACTCACGGGCAGGAACTGGGAACTTGCCTCTCTGAATTGT